ACCCACACACACTCAATCCCAATCACTCTACAGATATTATAGTTACCAAAGTCTGTTGCTCAGTACTGCACTAGGTGGCCAGCTTAGGAGTATGAGATAAGAAGCGGAACGTGTAGATGCATCTTTGTTCCAGTGAAGTTTGCAGAGAGTCACCCAATTTCTTGATACTAAGTCTCTCCCTTTTATAGGGGGCACCAAGTCTTTGTTTAAACTTGGGGTACTTTTCCATCCTGCCATATGGTTAGGATCATGCATCATTGTCCAAAGTGTTGCTCTTCAACCACTCTGTTTACAACATTCCTTTATCACCAGTGTTGGCTGTGTCTCTCACAAAGGGGAATCTCTAGCCTCAAGATATTTTCCAAAACTTGTTTTCAATCATCTACCCTGCTTATCTTTTCCTCCTGGTACAGACTGGCTTTTTCAGCCTTCAACATGATTCACCATTTGGTAACCTGGCATGTAGCTTACTTCTGCCTTTACCAATCACTCTACACTCATTCATTCATACATGCAAATATATTTTACTACACACACACACACACACACACACACACAGAGTAATATTATAAAAGCCTAAGTCTGTCTGTCCGTCTGTCCATAATGCCTTACTTGCACTCTGATTGGCTGACAAACAGCCAGTCAGACTGCAAACAAGCATTCCAACAGGAGCTGGCGGCCAGTGGAGTGCCACCATGATGGTGGGGACATGGGAGAGGGTGGGGCTGATGCCAGCACAGCTGGCCTCACCCCTCCCCTCACCCTGCTCCCTGGAGGTGGGGGCAACGGAGTGGACAGAACTGGGGGGGGCCAAGGCCAGCAGTGCTGCCCTTGTCCCTACCTGCCCTGGTACCTGCCCTGCTCCCTGCAAGTGGCAAGGATGGAGTGGCCTCACCTCCCACCCCACCTTACTACTTGCAGATGATAGCGGCGGCGGCTTGGGGGACAGCAGAATCAGGATGCCGTGGAGGGGTGAGGCCACCAGCTCTGGCCTCGGCTCGCCCCTCTTCTCTTCCATCATTACCACTTGCAGGGTCCACCGTGGGATGACTTGGCAGCATCGGAGGTAGGAGCAGGCCCCACGCAGGCTGAGGGAATAGCAGGCGTGCCGCAGTGGTGGGGGGAGGGGAGGAGTGGGCCTGGGTCCCACGCGGAGGAGGAGGATCAAGCCCAAGCCGGGGAGAAGCTGGCCCGCCACGGCATGGGGATCAGCGGGCCAGTCTGAGGGGGAAAGGAGTCCAGGAGAGCTAGCTGTACTTCAAAGAAACCTTACTGAGGATGCAGGAACGAACCATTCTAGTGCGCAAGAAGACTAGCAAATATGGCAGAAAACCAGCTGGGCTTAGCAGGGAACTCTTCAGTGAGCTAAAACACAAAAAGGAAGCTTACAAGAAGTGAAATCTTGGACAGACAACTAGGGAAGAGTGTAAAAGCTTGGGCCTGGAGGGATGAAATCAGGAAGGCCCAAAGTGCCGTTGGAGTTGCAGCTAACGAGGGATATGAAGAGTAACACAAAGGGTTTCTGCAAGTATGTCAGCAACAAAAGGAAAATCAGGGAAGTGTGGGTCCCTTGCTGAATGAGGGAGGCAACCTAGTATCAGATGATGTGGAAAAGGCTGAACTATGTAATGCCTATTTCAGCTCCCAGACTACTGCACCAGGAAGCACAGTTTGGGGAGGAGGTGAGCAGCCAACAGTGGTGAAAGAACATGTTAGGGACTCTTTAGAAAAGTTGGCCATTTACAGATCCATGGCACCAGATGGGATGCATCCAAGGGTACTGAGGGAGTTGGCTGATGAGATTGCAGAGCCATTGGCCATCATCTTTGAAAACTCGTGGTGAAAACTCATGGGGAGGTCCCAGATGGTTGGAAATGGATACACATAGTGTCCATATTTAAGAAAGGGAAGAAGGAGGATCCAGGGAACTATAGACCAACCAACCTTACCTCAGTCCCTGGAAAAATCATGGAGCAGGTCCTAAAGGAATCCCTTTCTAAGCACTTGGAGGAGAAGAAGGTGTTGGAACAGTTAGCATGGATTCACCTAGGGCAAGTCATGCCTGACCAACCTGATTGCTTTCTATGATGAGGTGACTGGCTCCGTGGATGCGGGGAGACCAGTGGATGTGGTATACCTTGGTTTTAGCAAGGCTTTTGATACAGCCTCCCACAACATTCTCACAGGCAAGCTAAGGAAGTATGGGTTGGATGAATGGATTGTAAGGTGGATAGAAGACTGGCCGGCGCATTAGGCTCAGCGGATAGTAATTAATGGCTTGATGCCTAGTTGGCAGCTGGTATCAAGTGGAGAGCCCCAGGGGTCAGGCCTGGAGCCAGGTTTGTTCAATGACTTCATCAACAACCTGGAAGATGGCATAGAGTAAAAACCTTAGCAAGTTTGCAGATGACACCAAGCTGGTGGGAATAATAGATACACTGTAGAGTAGGGCTAGGATTCAGAATGACTTAGATACATGGGAGGATTGGGCCAAAAGAAATGGCATGAGGTTCAACAAAGACAAGTGCAAAGAGTCCTGCACTTAGAATAATCCCATGTGCTGGTATGGGTTGGGGGAAGGTTGGCTGGGCAACAGCTCTGCTGAAAAGGACCTGGGGGTTACAGTGTACAATAAGCTGAATATAAGCCAACAGTGTGCCCTTGTTGCAAAGAAGGCCAATGGCATACTGGGCTGCATCGGTAGGAGTGTTGCCAGTAGATCATAGGAAGTGATTATTCCCTTCTATTCAGCAAGGGTGAGGCCGTATCTGGAGTACTGTGTTCAGTTTTGGGCCCCCCTGTACAGAAAGGATGTGGACAAATTGGAGAGGCTCCAGCAGAGTGCAAGAAAAATGTTTTGGAGTCTGGGGGACATGACTTTCGATGAAAGATTTCAGTAAACATCTTAGAGCGCACAAAACTAATAGACTCTGGAGCAGGCTAGTACTTGTAACTCTCCCCCTTGTAACTTACCCAGGAAGTGGGAGGCCTGGGTTTTATGTCTGCCTCACGAGTACTAGCCTGCTCCAGAAGTTTTTTGTGCCCAGCAGTATATGTGCAAGCACTACCTGGCTGGCTGGGACAAGGGTGCTTCAGTGTGGGGGCTGCCTGCTGGCTAGCCACACAATGAAGCACCCTCGTGTCTCAGCCAGCCCAGTCAGAACAGCACTGGGCTGCTGCCAGCTGGGGCTGCTCTAACCAGGCTCAGTATGCTGTGCATGAATAAACTCCAGCACAAAAAACTCCAGTTTATTCATGTGCATTAATTGCATGTGTAGACACGCCTCCAGTGTGCTGATTTCAGCAGAAAGGTTGCAGTATGCCCACTCTAGTTTGGTGGTTAGCATACTTTCCTTGGAACTAGGGGTAGGGTGGTCACTGACACATCCCCAGAATACAGGACATCCTGAGTGACACCACCAGCGCCCTTGGCCAATTATTGGTCAAGGGTGAGGGCTGCTGCCTCCTTGGCCAATCAGCAGCAAGGAGTGGAGCCATCAGAAAAAGGCCAGCTCCCACTCCCCCTCCTTCCCTGGCTTCCTTTGAGCTCTGCTTCTCCTGGCTGTGCCCCACCCTACCTCTACGCACAGCCAATAGAATTGTGAGGACAAATGATTGACATGCATTTCCACCAATGAACTGAAAAACAGGACTTTCTGCAGTCCATTCCTCATTCAGAAACTGAGAGGGGACAAAGGGTTTAAAAACAGAACAGTCCAGTAAAAACAGGACCAATGGCCACCCTAACTAGGGGATGCGTGTAAGAATTCCTTTAGGGTCAGGCAGGCCTAAAATCTAGGCCCCCTACTTCCTAGGCCAGTATTCTAACTAGTAGGTACTATGTAAAAGGAGGGTACTGCTACCAAAGCTAGCCATTTTATAAGTGAAAGTGGCCAGGGTGACTGAGCATTGTACTGAGCATGATACTGTTAAATGCAATTCAAGTATTCTTTGAGGATGCTAAATGTATCAGGCCCTTCTGAGAATGTAGATGGAGTCTCAGCAACTCCTCAGCTCCATACTGGAGTTAGGAACCTGAGCCATAGGAGCTTAGGTGCTCAAACTGGATTACTTCCAGTCATTTGTACAAGCCACTGTATAGATGCCTACAAAACTTTGCAGGCTGGTATGGATGTGCTGAATTAATCTAGGGGCCTAATGAGTTTTGTGCCTCCTGGAGCAGGGGCATTCTGGATTATCTCTTTGATTCTGCCTAAATTCTGCCTAAGTCCCATTTATGTACTTGTGGGCCAACTCAAGAATTTCCTTTAAGGGCCATATCTTGTCAACACAAAATCTCTATTATTTATTTTTTGTAGCAAGTATGTATATTATAATATAATTAATACTTATTATTATGAAGTTTAGAATATAGATGGCTCTTAAAGAAAATGCAGATATAATGTCTGTCTATTCTGTGTCCCTTTGGTGCAGCCAGAGCAGTGGAAATGAAAATCAAGCCCCAAGTGAGTCCACTGTACATGTCAGTCTTTTTTCCTAGCTGGCCTATTGATAGCCTTCCCCTTTATTCAGAAAGTCAAGCTGGATTTCCCTGAAGCAATTTAAAAATGAACTTGAATGACAAATCTGCTGAAGTCAGAACATGTCAAAAGCTATTTTCAGTCAAAGCTGACCCATATTCTGTAACTGGACTTGGCTAAAGAATGCAGAGTACACTGGGTAAGTTTTTACTGGAATGTTGAAGGTCTTCAAAAGAAACTCCTTTTTTTTTACTAAGATAAACTCACTCCAAATTAATGCCTGGAACTTCTGTATGAATTTGACTTGCATGAATATATATATGTTCCCTGCCAAAACCATTGAACAGAGCAGAGAATGTTGTTTACACATGGGACCCAGGTACTGCTTGAGAGACTTGCCATGGCTTGGAAATACAGCATCCTAAGGCTTGCACTGTGAGATACTCCTGAAGTGCCATGATGAAATTCCAAGAAATATGTGAAGACTGAAATTTTCCCTGTCCTTGATTTTTCCCATAGAATTGCTCGAATGATTCGTCAGGAAAGGGGAAATGCTCTGCTTGTTGGAGTTGGAGGTACAGGCAAGCAATCTTTGACCAGACTTGCATCTCACATTTGTGGCTACACATGCTTTCAAATAGAGCTCAGCCGTGGTTATAGCTATGATAGTTTCCATGAAGATCTGAGGAAGTTGTATAAAATGGCAGGAGTAGAAGACAAAGATATGGTTTTCCTCTTCACAGACACACAGGTACGGTTAAATGGTTCAACTGGAAATGCAGGTGGCTTTACCATTAAAATGCTGTGGAAAAACTACCCTGCCTTGCCTTTATTTCCCTCTCATATGGGGAACAGGGCTGGCTATGCCCTTAGGGAATGGGGCTTTTCCCCATCTCTACTGATGGCGGGTGGATGGATTAGAATATTCATCTTCAGTGTTTGATGGATTACGATTAACAGAAAAGTGGCTACTGAACTAGGAAAAGTGACTAAGCTTGCTCAATTGTCCTGATTTTAGAGAAAATACCAGTAACCTCAAAAAACACCAATCAGTGATAGTGCTGAACAGGGAATGAATCGGCTCAGAAACTGCACATTTCTTAAGACTTCTAGACATAAGAGAAAAAACAAATGGGGGAAGACCTGTTTTTTAATAGGTAATAGTCCGACAAGATGTTTTTCAATTATTTAAAAAGTAAGCATTTTAAAATAATGTGTTTTCAGTTAAAAACATTAAACTCTTTGTTATGATGTACATTTTATGTTATGAATTCAGGACTGTACTCTACTTATTTTTCTAATTGCATTCTTTGGCTTTATAGCTACAGAATACAGGTTAATAAACTAACTCATATTTATAAAATCTTTCCTATAGATTGTTGTGGAGGAGTTCTTGGAAGATGTAAACAATATTCTAAATTCTGGTGAAGTGCCTAATCTGTTTGAAAAAGATGAGTTGGAGCAAGTACTGGCAGCTACAAGACCCAAAGCCAAAGAAGTGGGAATATCAGAGGGGAACAGAGATGAGGTAAAATATTCCCTGCAGATATTAATATATTGTACTAGACAGCTTGGTAAATGAAAGTTATTAGATTTCTTGTTTTGGAAGAAGTAAGTATAGGCATTTTAACACATACCTTATCTATCTCTCATAATCTAATCTGGAAAGAAGAGGAAATTGCATTTGCTTTACACTTGGGAAGGTCAATTTCCAGGTCTTCTAATGAGTGCTGCTGCTCTGTCATGTATGGAAAAAACATTCATGTTCTGCCCTTGGAGACCAGAGTTCAACCAGGGTAGGTATGCAGGTATTTCAGAAGGGCCAGCAAACCATGTCATCCAAATGAATTATTGAAAGCATAAGTAAGTAACGATTGCTGATCATTTAGGAAATTTGCACTTACAGTTTTTAGTTTAGTTTAGTTTTAGTTTAATTTAACCAGAAGTTAAATTAGCACTTCACTTGTGAGAACCACTTCTTTTCAGCATGAAAGAGCTGATGAAGGGCATCTTGGGGTGTCTGTATGCGTGCTCTGGGGGGTAGTGGGGGAGGAGGGGACACTTTAATTACAGCAGCTCTTGGGAGCTGCTTTAATTAAAGCACCCACAACGTCTTGTGTATTCAGCATCCCACACTTCAAAATGGCTGCAGGGGCACTTTAACTGAAGCTCGTTGAATGAACTTCAGTTAAAGTGCCCCTGCGGCCATTTTGAAGCATGGAAACGCTGAATACACAAGACACTGAGGCTGCTGGTGTGTGCTAATTAGATTAATCAAGCCTGCTACAGTGCATCAGAGCAGGGATCCTGCACATCTACAGGCATGCTGAATAATCACACAGCATTTCAAAAAATAAACAAATCCACTGGCTGGTCTTTCAAGAAGCTCCCTACTTTATTGGTTTTGTAAAGAACCTGACAGGTTTTCTCAAATAAAGCTTTCTTCCATTCTGTTTGTATGCTGCAAACATGTTTTAAGGCTTCTGTTTCCTCTGATCTGTTTGTTTTGTTCAGCTGCTGCTGCATACCTTACTTGAGTGGGAAATTGGAAAGGCAGACAGTTTTTGACAAAATCTTGATTTATCTGGGCAAACCAATCAGTAGCAAGGAACAATTACTTCTCTGAATTTAGAACATCCAGAAGAGAGTAGCAACTTGTTCAGTGGTCCTTTGCAAACCATATTGGATTATATTTGTATTTTGACACACTATTGAGCACAACCCCCTTCCAGACATCTATTACACTGAAAGATAGAAGAGAAAAATATCTTTATTAAAGTTGGGCTTTACTTTATTAAAATATATACTTAGCTATATTTATTACTTTCGCCTTAGTCAAGCACCAAGATTTGTGAACAGTATCTTGGGAAGATCAGTTCAGAAGTAATCCTGGTTAACGTGACAGTAACAGTAGTGAATAGTACACATCTGAACAAACAAATGGATGAATAAAAAAATTCATTCAAAATAGAAGCTTTTTGAAAAACAGGTTGGAAGACAGAAAGGTGTGATTTTTGTGGCCAAATGCTGTGCACTGAGCAATCCTCCCCTGCAGATCTTTTCAAGCTTTCCTCCTTCAAAAGCCAGAGCTTTCAGGAATCTTATTCTAATCTCATCTTCTAAAATAGTAGCTGCTGAAACCTGTTGTCTCTTAGATCCTTTCCCAACCCAGCTTACAACTACTAGGGCCAATGAATCAAAATGAAGAGTTCAGGTAGATTCCCACGTTCCTCTGGAAAATAGCTAGGGAGTAGCCACTTCGTCCCAGGAATGTGAATACAAAGGATCTTTCAGAATTTCTAGATAAATTTTCTCTTATACAGTGAAAAACAAAATCATCATAAATTTCAGGTGATGAAGAGAATAGAAAGAGCTTTTTCCTAAGACAAAAATTAGTAGAGGTGCACCAATACATTGGTCCGATATCAGATTGGCACTGATATAAAGAAAATTGTCTGTATCAGAAATCAGCCCAATGCAGATGATAATTTGGCTGATAAATGCTGGTGCACATGCGCAGGCAGGCAGCGACGAGCACAGCCCAGCAGCGTGGAGAGCTGTGTGCAGCTGGTAAGTCCATTGTGGTGGAAAGGCAGGGGGGAGGGAAGAGGTGTGGGGGGAGAAATCAACGGCCCCCACGGTGAATGTGGGAGGGGGCATGGGCAGACGCTGCCCAGCCAGGGTGGGGTGGGGTGCGGGAGGGTAAGGGTGGGAAGCATGTGCCCTTGGATCTGCACGGGGTGGGGCAGGCAGATTGCAGCTCCAGGCTGGAGCTGGGGCTGCGCCAGGCTCTTCTCAGTGGGCGGCTACAGAAGGGGCTGCAGCCACCCCAAATTTCACCATAGCTCTACTCCCAGTGCCATTGCTGCGTGCCTGGCGCAGCCCTAGCTCTTCCCAGCATGTGGAGGGAGGTGGGGGTTGAGCCAGGAAGAGCCAGACCTATGCTGGGTGCACAGTGGCAGTGCTGAGAGCAGGCTATGGCAAAAATTGGGGTGGCTTCAGCCCCCTCTGTAAGTGCCCACCCCAAGCCCAGTGCCCACCAAGAAGAGCCCGGCCCAGCTATGGCTCCAGCCCACAGCTGCAGCCCATCTGCCCCGCCCTGTGAATTCCTGGGGCACATGTCCCCACTGCCATCCCAGGGTGTGCGCAGCAGCATGAGCTGCCACCCCCTCACCTGTGCCTCTCCTAAGGAGCCATGACTCCCTCCCGCACCCTGCCCTGCCCCAGCTGGGCAGTGCCTGCCCTATAGCCCGTGCCCCAGCCCCTCCCTCACTGAGGGGGACATTGATCTGGCCCCCTCACAGCTCTTCCCTCCCCCCTCCCCTTCCACCACAACAGACTTACCAGCTGTATGTAGCTCTCCACGCTGTATCAGAAATCAGATTGGTATTGGCCAATATGCTTCCTTAAAAATCAGCTATCAGTATCAGCCCCCAAAATCACTATCGGTGCACCCCTAAAAATTAGTGAAAAATAAAATATTTGTTGACAAAGTAAGAACAGTATGTAGTAATGAAATAAGTGGACAGCTTGATTAAGAAATCAGATATCAGAGCAGAATGAAAAAATAA